TCGGAAATTATGCAGGGCGCTCTGCGCTCCGTGGAATCGTGGTGTAGGGAAGTCGATCTTTCTGTTATTGCTGAAAAGACCGAGCTGATCCTATTCACTAGGAGAAGATGGCTTGACGGGCTGGTTATGCCGACCTTCTTTGTGACTAGATTAGTTTTGTCCCAGTCAGTGAAATATCTGGGAATCATCCTGGATTGCAAACTGAACTGGAGAGAGCATGTGGAATACAAGATTAACAAGGCTCGCAATTCGATGTGGGCTTGTAGACGTGTTGTCGGGGTAAGGTGGGGGCTTAAATCCAAAGTGGTATACTGGCTCTACACGACGATAGTACGTCCATCTCTCTTGTACGGCTCCCTGGTCTGGTGGCCTTGCATTAGAACTGAGACAACTAAGGCCAAACTCAATAAAATTCAGCGTTTGGCCTGTATTAGTATTACAAGCGCAGTGCGAACAACGCCATTGAGTGCAATGGAAGCTCTGTTGGATCCGCGGTGAAGCGAGAATAGTCGCTCATCGACTGTGGAGTCAGGGCAGCTGGGGTTTCTTGAATCCTGTCAAGGGGCATACTGCCATCTTAGTCGAATTAGAAAAATTAGTCGTATTACCCCTAAATATCGCTTCAACCCCAAGTTTTTTGTGGAGTATCCAACGAGGAAGGAGTGGGACGCCGGTAGCCGGGGACTCTACGGAGTGAGTGGGCAGGTCTGGTACACGGACGGCTCGGTCACCGAAGAGGGCTCAGGTGCTGGGGTCTCTGGGCCTCGAACTAGGCTATCTCTCCCTCTCGGTGGATACAACACCATTTTCCAGGCGAAAATCTTTGCGATTCTGGCTTGTGTATCTCACATTCTGGAGGAGGGTGGGCCTAGGAGAAGAATAACAATCTTATCCGGCAGCCAGGCTGCAATGGAAGCACTAAGTGCCTGTAAGATTACTTCGAGTCTTGTATTGCAATGCAGGGAGGCTCTGGATTGCCTCGCAGCGAGGCATCCGGTATCGTTAATATGGGTACCGGGGCACTGGCGAAAAGAGGATCAGCCAGCCAGCTCTAGGAGTGACCGCGCATAAAGCTACGAGGAAAATGGAGACGTGGGTTGCAAGACAACACTCTCAGAAATGGAGAAGTATCTCCAGACATCTCCGCCAGGCACGAGAACTCATTCATGTGCATAATCAATAATAGAGGACATTTTGAACAGCTTCTGTAACATTAAACATGTCCAAACTCTCTATAAGAAACATTAACTTGTCATTTTTATGTATAAAAAGTTTGAAAACAATTTGCATTTTATTACACCCATTTTGACCCATGTTAGATAGCATTTATTGCTCAACGTAGAATACTTAGGATAACACAAAGCTGTAGAATTAGTACAAAAAGGTACAACTTCACAGACTAGTTTTTGAATGGTGTGCGGAAATGCACAAAATAATCAATTTTCTTCCATATTTTTTTGTTTTTGTCTGTTTTTAAGTATGTTTGACGGTTAGTATCAAAACAAGTTTTTCAGTAATCGCTAGGACAACATGTCATCGTTCAAATGACATCAAATTTATCATTCTGTGACAATTACGTACCCAGTTATTACAATTTTCATACATGCACTACCGTAATCGTAACTTAAAAATAAAAATGGCTGGCATTTCAAGGGGGATGAGGCAGGACATTGTAGGGGGGTGGATTTGTCGATAAAAATAGCTGAAAAATACCCCTCTTAAATATCGGTATGTCGTGACCAAACACATTGTATATTTATTGTTGCAAGCTGTTAGTAGTATCCTTCACAATCACAGTCTGGTGGAGGATGTCGATGCCACTGGTCATTCGGGTATCTTCGGCAAATTGTCTGCTAAATTTTGTCTGCCAACTTCACACCGGTATATATAAGTGAGGGCTATACAATATTTCATGAGTTAAAAGTATAAAACTGTAACAGTTATACAAACAAAGGAATGCTATAGTGGAAATATTTTTGTGTGAGGTGACAGATAAATTTTATCAACTAATTTATATACTTCTAGGTATTCAAAATAAATTTTTTCATGTCTTTTAAATTCATCATATGATTGCAATTTTGTGGATGGAGGTATAGCATTGTAAAAAATAATTGAATAGATTAATGAAACATGAAACGAGGACCAGCGGAAGCACAATGAATTCGCCCCCTGTGAATGAACTTATAGTTTCGTTCAGATTACACGGGTCGAACCATACGCGGTGGCGTCTCTGAAACCACCAAAACAAAGTTACAAACAGAACCAAATGAGGAACTTCTCCTTTCCATAGTAAATGGAAAAAGCATATATGGTCTGAATAATCCTTTTGATGGATTATTACAGACAGAATTGATTGCACCAGCATCAATAAAATTAAACAGTAGGATAGTACACTGTGAAGATAACAGTAATATAGATTATGGTGGAGATCCGAGAACAGGTGTATATATATATATATATATATATAGTGGCTCCTTTATAAGTAGAAAAATATATGTCGCAGTCTTCGACATATTTTGTAAGTGCAGCTGCAGCATTTTATCTCCTGATTTAAGCTTAGTTTGTAATATTTTGAAATTTCCGTCATTGTGCACAGGGATATCAGCAGATTCTGTCTCCCACAAAGAATAATTGCATCTATTATCGGTACTATTTTTTTTCTATTTTCTATAATTTTATTTCTTGATACTAATCTGAAGATCGACAGACTGCTGTTTTTGATCTACAATTAGATGCTGATGGCTGAATTTCACCAAGCTAAATTTGTAGTACTCTTTGGCTTGTTTATCAAAAGCTTCAACTGCATCTTTCCAATCATTAAATGGTGACTTTATAAGTTTCCCAAGAGCCTGATTTCCAATGCCACCTGTTCCTGCATAAAAAACACAAAACTTGCAATAGGCGCCATCTTCTTTTTGAGAATATGCTTGCTAATTCCAACGATGAAACCAACAATACTGAACCTTCAGATTCCTCTTGCTTGAAACCAAAAATTTAAAGTTTGCCATGGGCTTCCAAAGGTCAGAAATAACTGTGATAATATCGATATTAGCCTTATGTCCAACAAAGTGACATTGATTTATATTATCTGGATCTCTGGATGAAGATTGATGAAGTGGACGGTTGTTCGTTATTTGCCTGAACGATAGCGGTAGAGGTTGATAAATTGCTTGATTGGTCCTCGCCGATCAAGCGTATTTAGTTTTTTCTTTTTATCAGACATTTTGCTGAAACAAGTAAAAAGTCAATAAAATGAATAAAATCGTTTGATTCGTCCAAATCGGAAAATCCATCTCAGAGTAATCCGCGAACCTTGATGCAACGTTAAGAAAACCAGTTACTTAATTTTACCTCCGGCTTATTTAAGAATAGGACCATCTCAGAGAATCTCTCTACCGAATATAGTTTGATTCATAACAATCGATCAAAGCGTTATCAAATAATCACTTGACAATGCAATCTGGACATACATAAAAAATATGGAAATTCAACCTCCATTTTCGAAGTCTATGAAAAAGTAAAAAAAACACATTTACATAGGCACAGAATAATACACATTCTGTACTTAAATATTATTATCGAACTGAATCACGCGAAACGGAAGCGATCTGGCAACTGTGTCTGCTGTCACCCTTTCGCGGACGGAACTTTTTTTAAACTACAGCCTTCGGGCCTTTGCTATAATTTACTTGGTAGGTGCTTGCTATATTAAAAATAATCCTTTAAATCTTAGGGCTTACCTGTTGTATAACTAACACATTAACACACTAGTATCACCTAATATTTACTACACAATTAGAAATGTCGAGTATGCAATGTTACTGCAATGGTTGTCTGGATAAATAAGTATCAAGAGATCGAGGAGCACGATGTTGCCGATAGTGTAAAATGTTAGGTCTCTCCATCAAAATTTTCCTTTTATTGTGGAATTTGTGCCAGTAAAACCCATTTGCCTTCAACAGCCGCTTCAAAGTTTCTTCGCTATATGGAAAGACCATTTCATTACGGACTGCTACCAGCAATTTGCGACATGTTGGCACCGCCTTGTACTGGCAATGGAATTTTTCTACCGTCTTGCGTATGACGTGAAAATCCGCCTTGTCTGTCTTCTCAGTTATTGAAGGACGAGGCCTCTTTTTTCCAGGAGAAGATAGCGCTTGTCCTGATTTGGAGCTCTTCCTTTCCCGATCTTCGTTCCTAATACTAGATATGGTCCTTTCACTCACACCAGTATAAAATGCTGCTCTAGCATTTCGAGCCACAAGTGTGTGAACGAGAGCATTATTCGAGGCTTCCTCATCACATCCATTTATTACTTTGGCTATTACTTCTCTCGCCTGGCTGTGAATAACCCTACCTTTCTTCGATTCCATTATTGACACAAATAATTCAATAACGCAAGTAGACAATGCAAAGATTTGAATACTGTTTACCCGTTTAATACATGCCCTGCTCCCACGCCTATGGAGCTACAAATAACGCCCACTTGCCACCATGCTCCCAGTATCCACCAGTCAGGTGGACGATGCGCTACTGAGTTGCCAAGATGTGACGAAATCGTAGATTTTTTCTTGTGCTTAGTATATTTATGTATGACAATTTTCACAATTATTGTACTCCTCAAATGATAAGTAGTACATTTTGTCTATGTATATATATATATACATGCACAGCTAACCTTCTCGCCTCCACATACGAAACAGGCACCCTGGCCTCCGGCTGAAATACTACATATCTCAGTGTATATTGGTTACAGAAAGATTCCCGTCCATTGTTTTTCTCATTTCCCCCTGAGAGGGGTAAAAATATGTCTTTTTTAAATTATACAGATTTTCGCTATACTTTTAAATGTAAGATGCCTCCGACCACTTATTTGCTAATATACCTCCGTTTGTATATAGTTTGCTATGTTGGTTGACTAATCAGCCTCCCGCGGCGTTGCCGGTTCTTTAATAGTAAAAATTGCTGACCTTGAGCTATTTTTAGAATCCTGAAAATATTATTTGACAATGCTTAAATAGTTTCAGATCTTCGGTGTCGTGTTAGTCTAGTTAACGTGCTCAGAGTGTGTGTGTGTGTATTGGCTTTTGTTTCGGTCTCCAGTTCCACAATACAAAAATGAATATGTAAGTGATAATGATTTTAGTTTAAGAAATAATATAATAATTCTGCATTTTATTATAGCCCAACATACAGAGCTAGAAAAATTCTAAACAGCTTAGATAATACAAGGAAAAAAGAGGATAAAGGTGATTATTTATTCCATGTCTATTGAATTAGGTGATCAAATTGAATACTAACTTAATTTATTGATTTATGAAAAATTCAAAAAAAAATCACATTTTTAATGTATTATTTAGTTAATTCAAACAATAGTCTGGAGTCGTTTAATGGAAATATATTTGTTAGGTTATGGTTTTGAATAATTTTATTTTCGATTTAATGATTTTCCAGAAGATGAATATGAATATGAAAGTAGTCCCGCTCCATCGATTTCTGGTGATATGTCGTTCCTCGATTTCGATTCCGATGACTCGATGAAGGATCCCACATTTAAACCAGAAGTTAAAGATAAGCAAACGACATTTTTCGATCTTCAAAAACTGAGGTTTGACTTTTTTCTACTTCATTATAACTCTTGAAGATAATTCAGTTTTTTAACTATTGTATTCATAAACATATTCTAGGATGTATTGACAATAGAGAAAAATAATGAAAAAGAGTTAGAAAAAAAGGAAGTTAAAAAGAAAGAAGAACAAAATAACGCTGCAGTGGAAGAAATTATGAGATCGGATATCGTTTCCACTGTAAGTAGCAGAAATTTTTATTTCATTTTTCCAATTAAAATACAGATAGAAGTATATTTACAGTGCGTTCCATTTAAAAGGAGCCTCCCGATATATCTGCATTAAAAATGAATTTCCGAAAAAAATCGGCGGGGAAGTATTGTAATCGCGAACAAAATCGAAATTGAGATGTTATGTTTTTTGGAGGTCACATGACATGTACATCACGAAAAACCATGTCACTCATTTCCGTCAGTCTGTCTGTCTGTCGCTCTGTCTGTCTGTCGCTCTGTCTGTCTGTCTGTCTGTCTGTCTGTCTGCTAATCCTATAAGCCCGTATAAGTTGGAAAGTACCAGTCGGATTTTGAAGAAATTTTTACACAAGGTTACTATTATGCCAAGGACGTAAAAGCTTTATAATTTTTGAAATCGATCCAGTGGCGGCGGTGCTGGAGGTAAAAAACGAAAAAAATAAATAAAAAAAGCTCAAATCTCGTTTCTGGACGTTTCAGACGTCCCTGATCATTTTTGAATTTTTTTTGTAGGGGTTGAAAATTGGGGGTTGGGGCAGTAGGGGGGCGGGGGCGGGTATGATTCAATTTTTTGACGCTTTTATTTTAAAGGTATCCTAACACAGTAATTCACCGCTACAATTAGGATATATTTCGCAATGAGATTTCTCCGTACATTTGTTCGAAAAAATGGCGTCAAGTAAATTGATTTGGCACTTCCCTCGCAACGCCAAGATTAAAGACCTTGGAAATTTAGGAACTGAAATATTGTCTTTCTAACAAATGTACGGAGAAATCTAAGTGTGGAATATATACAAATAGCTGCGTTGAATTACTGCTTTAGGATACGTACTAACGTCAAAAAACTGAATAAAACCCTCCCCCCACCTTCTACCGCCTTCTACCACCCCCAACCCCCAATTTTAGACCCCTACAAAAAAATATCAAAAATCAGGAGCCTCTGAAACGTCCAAAAACGAAGTTTGAGCGATTTTGATTTTTTTACGTTTTTTGCCTCTAGCACCGCCGCCACTGGATAACTTTTCAAAAACTATAAATGTTTTTTGTCCTTGACATAATAGTAACCTTGTGTCTTGTAATAATTTCAAAATTTAAACAGAAAATATGGATTTTTTTTTTAGAATCTGAAAATATCTGAAATTTTTTGAATAAATGTACGGAGAAATCTGATTGCGAAATAAATCCTAATTGTAGCAGTGAATTACTGTGTTAGGATACGTATAAAAATAATAGCGTCCAAAAATTGAATCATACCCGCCCCCGCCCCCTGCTGCCCCCAACTCCCAATTTTCAACCCCTACAAAAAAATTCCAAAAATGATCAGGGACGTCTGAAACGTCCAGAAACGAAATTTGAGCTTTTTTATTTTTTTTTTTCGTTTTTTACCTCTAGCACCGCCGCCACTGGATCGATTTTCAAAAAGTATAAAGCTTTTACGTCCTTGGCATAATAGTAACCTTGTGTAAAAATTTCATCAAAATCCGACTGGTACTTTCCAACTTATACGGGCTTATAGGATTAGCGGACAGACAGACAGACAGACTGACGGAAATGAGTGACATGGTTTTTCGTGATGTACATGTCATGTGATATCCAAAAAACATAACATCTCAATTTCGATTTTTTTCGCGATTACAATACTTTCCCGCCAGTTGGCGAGGGAAGTAAAACAGAATAATTTCAGATATATTCAGATTCTAAAAAAAAAAATCCAAATTTTCTGTTTAAATTTCCAAATTATTACAAGACACAAGGTTACTATTATGTCAAGGACGGAAAACCTTTATAGTTTTTGAATAGTTATCCAGTGGCGGCGGTGCTAGAAGCAAAAAACAAAAAAAATTAAAATCGCTCAAACTTCGTTTTTGGACGTTTCAGAGGTTCCTGATTTTTAAAATTTTTTGTAGGGGTCAAAAATTGGGGGTTGGGGGAGGCAGAAGGCGGTAGAGGGTGGGGGGAGGGTTTTGTTCAGTTTTTTGACGTTAGTACGTATCCTAAAGCAGTAATTCAATGCTTAGATTTCTCCGTACATTTTGTTGGAAAGACAATATTTCAGTTCTTAAATTTCCAAAGTCTTTAAACTTGGCGGTGCGAGGGAAGTGCCAAGTCAATTTACTTGACGCCATTTTTTAGACAAGTGAAACGTTTCGTATTTTTTCTTTTTGGTAATAAACAGATTCTCTAAAAATGATTTTACCCTTTTATGATGCAAATTTTCAGTTAAATACTGTATATCTGTATTTGATGGAAACTTACTAATATTTTTTTCAGGATGAACAGCTAAATGAAAAGTCCCCTAAAATTGTTATCCTGAGTAACATTGATGTGTCCAATTTCAATCAAATATCGGAGACTCAAACTAAAGTAAGTTCAACCATAAAAACTTCACTTGGAAATAATCATATACAAAATATTACTGCGGATATTTTATTAACTTGATAATCAAATCTTTAATTCTAGAGTAAAATATTTTGCTAGACGTTTTCTTACTTTGTGGGAATATAATATTTATAAGCTTTGAAATTCTAGACTAATATTTTTAACTTTACCTTGAGTCACCTATTATTCCTAAAGGCATGATTAAATTATTTTGTCAGTCTCAAATTAGCACCATTGTATCGTTGTTTCTAGTAAATAACTGCTGGTCATCAAAAATCTTTGACAAGATTCTCACTGTCAGAAAATATAAAAAATTTATCAGTCATAAAATATTGTAGCTAAAAAAGCCAGGCCAGCTCATTTTTTAAATCAAGATATCACCGAAAATGCCAAGCCTCTCCCTCAAACTTGTATTGTTTCATTATCAATTTCTATCAGCATTTTTGCAGAAATTTAAAAAAATCAATTTTTTTTTACATTTTTCAGACAACAACGAAAAAAAAGAGAACAAAGTGTAAGTTTTGTCAGACAGATGTAACAAATTTTGAGAGGCATCTTGAGCGGAACCACGATGATACTAAAGAGGTACAAGATATGATGTCTTTTCCAAAAAGCCATCCTGAAAGGAAAAAAATTCTAAGTTTGTTGAGAAATGCAGCAAATTTTACAGAGTATCTTAAAGGCAATGTACAGCCTAAGTATCATTATAAGACAGAATCTAAAGAATATTACCCATGTTCACGCTGCAAAGCAATGCTGTCTAAATCGTATTTGTCACGTCATAAAAAAAACTGCATACTGAAACACACGAATAATAATGAAATTCGTAAGATGAATTCACTAGCAGCATCACAAACATTAATAGCTAGTTCTTTTGATGAAAATAGTAACTTGCACAAACTGAGAGTAAAAGAGGAAGTCTTTGACCGAATGAAACCTGATTATATCTCCTTGGTTGCGAAATCCGACTACCTAATTTATAACTTTGGAGAAAACTATCTCAAAAAACACAGAAGAGAACAACTCGTTACAGTTTGTTCCAATAAAATGAGAGAATTGGCACGGTTTCTGATACAATTCAGAAAAATGACAAATAACTCAAAATTCAGGCTACAAGACGTTTTTAAACCAAAATTGTTTGATATGACAGTCGAATGCGCAAAACATGTAGGGGGATATGAAAAATATTCTAAGACATATCGTGCACCTAGCCTACCTGCACATCTGGGAACTTCATTAAAACAAGTTTGTGAACTTTTCACAAGACTGGTCCTGAAAGAGA